GGCGATAGTTTACAGCGGAATCGATCCAACATGATATCGGCTATTAATATACGGATATATTCATCCTGGATCGCAAGAAATGGAAAACTAAAATAATCGATGCTGTTGTTCCATTGGATGAAAACGTGCAAAAATCACTGGTGGAGAAAATAAGAAAAAATCAAAACTGGGCCATCGACCTGAAGCAACATATCAGTTAAAGAATGCACGAATAAGAGAAGTTGTTTCCTCCTCTAATCGACTCATTCCAAAATCATTAAGGACGAGCCTGAGCCACCTGTAGCTTACAGAAGGGCTACTGTAAAACTGCCACTGTCCTGTTTTGGACGTATGCAGAATAGCGCGAAAGATATGGATATTAGAAACTGTATCATACAGCAGCAAGGTAGTTATGCTCAGCCCCTCGAAGCTGGTAAATATCCTCTGTATAAGAAAATATGAAATAAACCACACTTAATTCTACGTTATCCTAAAAGCTTCAGTGAAAAGGTACAAGCATTACTTAAAACTAAATAAAATATTTACGTTATATATAAAAGCTCCAGCAAGCATAATACGTCATTAAGTAATTCTTAGAACAAATTCCTAGGTTAGGTTTACGAATTTTACTCTGCAGCTGAGGGAAATATTACATGGAACAAACAGTAAACACAGTCCCTCAAAGAATACGGACCAGATGGAAAAGATGGATGGTTGCGGGCTAGCGTCATTTGGGAAGAGAACAAAGGACCGACCCTAAAAAACGCAGGGAACAGTTAGACGGAATTAACAGGAATGACATGATCTCTGATAGTCAAAACATATCGGCATCCCCAAAGCAAGAAACTGAATGAACAGTAGCGTCAAGGAAGCATCAATCATCCAGTCCGGCGACAAAGACAATCATAACAAAGGATACTAACTTTGTTTGAAATGGGTGTGGCTTATCGCCCTTGCAGCCAAGAAAGTAATTTAACCATTAGCCGAGTCACAAAATCGCCTTCTGACACCACACGTACCATCTGC